CAATTTCACCCTAAAAACTTTATGATCATCGTTTAGCATTTTTCACGGGCTTTCCAAAAAGGCGCCACAAGTGGGGTGTTGCCATTTAAGATTTTTAAGTGAGCAGGGGTGCCGCGAAAGCAGGGGTGCCGTACCAACGAAAGGTAGGAAATAGAAAGAAGAAATTACATTAGGAATGTGTGTTAGGAATGGTAATGTTTTTTTATTCATATTCTGCAGATAAAAATAAGTAAAAAAGTTTGTATAAGTGTATGTTCTAAAATGCTCAGCGTCGAAGATACAGGGTGTAGAAGTTTCATTTTTATTTCGATTTTTTCCAAATAATTTCTGAAGTAACTGTGTCTGGGAGTTTTTTGACATACGAAATTTGATTTTGATGTCAATATGACATCCTAACCTAAACTACATATTTTTTAACTGGTCTGAATAGTAATAACTTTTCATCTGTACCTGTATAAAACTACTGAGTAAAAAAATATACATTTAAGATGTTTTTTACGTAAGAAAGGTTTCTCGGTAAAAATCGCTACGAGTAATGGTTCTAGAGATATTTGGAATCGAAATTATCAATACAACATATCATTGACATAACTTAAACATGTTAAACATGTTGACAATAGAAGATTATTTTCTTTTATCTATGACATGTTGACTAAATAGTTATTAGATTGAAATCATGAAATTGAAATGTTTTTGTGCCAAAAGTTCAACAGAAACTGTTTTATTAATTTAAAAAATAAAAAGTTCTCAAATTTATCATTTCAGCCATATAACCATCTACTTAATATATATGTTTATTTTTTGTCAATAATGACATGAATTGACTATTTCCATTCTAAATATCTTGAGAACGGTTGCTCGTGGCGATTTTTACCAAGAGACATTTTTTACGTAAAAAATCAGGAAAATATATATTTTTTCACTCAGTAGTTTTATACAGGTACGAACGAAAAGTTATTACTCTTCAAAACAGTTAAAACACATATAGGTGGTGCCTCCTACAAATAAGAGACATATTGACATCAAAATCAAATTTCACATGTCAAAAAACTCCTAGACACCAATTTTCATCCAAATATTGACGTTACTTCAGAAACTACCCAAGTAGTATCTATCTGACTTCTTCGAACTAAATCTGACCTTGAAGCGACGTCAGACTTTGTGCAAATTTAGGTCGGGTGCTGGTGATATGACCGGTGACGTCGCTTTCCCATTAAAAGCGACGTCGTCGTTGGATCCGAGTCGGTAAAATTCAACGATCTGTCGACGTACAAAATAACAACGTACCATTTTTATTAATTTCCCATCGTCGTTCCACGTTGGCTCGCACGGCGTACATATGCTTGAACTAGCCTCGACGTCTACCCGTTGCCCGAATAGGGATACGTCCCACTGATAATCCCTAAAAGTAACGTCCAATTATATTTTTGTTGTATTTTATGTTTATATTTATAACCTAATTTACGTATCTTCTGTTTACGTCCGTAAATACAACCCATTAAGCAGCATTTGCGGCTCTAATGAACATCATGAACATAACCTAATAAAAAAGTTTTTGTAAACAAACTTAATTTTTTTTTTATTATGCTTAAAAAATACTAAAAAGGGCATTTAGACATTCATCTAAATTTTACAGAAAGCTAATAAACAAAATAATAATAGTAGTAGTGATGTCTTGCCTCCACCCACGAATGCTTTTTATCCGGAAGAGATGCTGCATTACACTGGTGCATCTTAATTTCATTTTTTAGCTTAGGAAACGCAGACCCCTATCCTCCTCTTACATGTGGTGTACTGGTTCCAATTTCTTTTAAATTTGTATATATACTATCTTAAAAAAAGTGCTGCCCATTTTTAAAGGAGAAAACAAAACTAAAAGAAGTTGCACAACCAATAAATCACTGATACGCAAAGGGAGGTTACGTGGCGTACTATTATATACGTCATAATACGATTGCCGGTCGTCCGGTTTGATGACTTCGTCGTGTGAGACGACTAATGTTGGAGACCCGGTCGATTGGTATATTGGTAGTTCATATTAAGTCGGACACAGGAATCTGCCATTTTTAACAAGGAACTGATTGTCAGCCATTTTAAAATCGTTTTTTGTTTTTAAAATTTATATTCACATTCCCATTTCTAATTAGCTTAGGAAACCAGCAGACCCCATCCTCCTCTTACATGTGAGGTACTGGTTCCAATTTTTAAATTTTTGTATATATACTAGGCTTAAAAAAGTGGCTGCCCATTTTTTTTAAGGAGAAAACAAAAACTAAAATATAGTTGCACAAATCCACAAATCACTGATAAACAAAGTGAGGTTACGTGGCGTACGTTGGAATTATATACGTCATAATACGATTGCCGGTCTTCCGGTTTGATGACTTCGGTCGTGTGAGACGACTAATGTTGGAGACCCGGTCGGAATTGGTATATTGGTAGTTCATATTAAGTCGGACTCAGAAATCCGCCATTCTTAACACGTATCCGATTGTCAGCCATTTTAAAATCGTTTTTTGTTTTTAAAATTTATATTAACATTTCGATTTCTAGTAGAATAATATCGATAAGGTTGAGTTTGGGGGGAACCACAGTACAGTTTTATGATTAAACCAGCTAGAAAATAAAAAAAAAATTGTGAGTTACTTTTTTATAGATATTTTTATTTCATAAATCTACCTAATTTTGAAAGCGCTCGTTGTTTTCCGGAGTATTTTAATCAAATATATCAAGAAAGTGACTTCCGTTGACAAAACTGATGTCTGGATTAATGATTCAGAATTACTATAATACGAAATTAGATAGGCACTTATAGTTATATTCGAGGAGTGATTATGAATCCATTTGTAATTAGGTAGTTTGGTTAGGTTTTTATGTATTCTTGGTAGCGAATATGAAACCAAAAATAACGTAAGTGCTTAGCGACGAATTTTAAGTAACTAAAATCCAACGTAATATGACGTTGGTAATTGGTAGAATTACATTCCCTATTAGGTCAGATACCGACGTCGAGGCGACCCGAATCTGTATTCCCCATTTAGGTGCAAATAAGGGTCGTCAGGCGGTCGAACCGACGTTGGTACCCGACGTCGTGTTATTGGACGGCGACGTATACCCGACGTTAGATAACGTCCAAATGCTACTTGGGTATTTGGGAAAAATCAGAAATAAAAATGAAACTTCTTACACCTTTAACGTCAAATGCTACCCAGGTATTTGGGAAAAATCCGAAATAAAATGAAACTTCTACACCTTGTATCTCCGGAAACTAAGCGCATTTGAGGACATACATTTACACGAACTTTTTACTTATTTTTATCTGCAGAATATGCTTCCGTAATACAGTTCGAACCACAATCTTATATAAAAACAAATAATTAAAAGAGTACTAGAAAAGGATTTTAAATAAATAAAACATTACTTAGTGTCAGCACAAGTATTTTTATTTCTTTATTCAAGATATTCCGACATCCACATAGATATAATAATACATTTTTTCTCATAAATTTTCTGGAAACATCAATAATAATAGTGATTCAAATAGAGATATAATATGTTATATACGACAATTATTACACAGACAGCCACTTTATTTCCTTAAATAGAGAATATATTTATGTAGATACTATACGGAAATAGATATATAAGAGATACGGTGATTAAATATTCACTTTGAAAATACCTTCAAGATAGAATGAGTAAAAAACGTTGGACAGGGGACGCCCATGGCGGTTTCTAGTGGCGTGCCGCCAACGACCTGACACTAGAAATTTAGAAAAATATTTGGTTATTTTTCTTTTTTTTAGCTGGCTACACGCCACGGCGACATCGGACAGCTCCCCTGTCGGATATGTCTCGAAATGGTCCGGCTGACGTCATTTTTATTTTTTTTTTCTTTATATATACTATAAATATGTATGACCGCCTAAATCGCCAATAGTTACCAATAGTTGCACCACAAAAATGTCTTAAACGTTATGTTAGTTGGGGATATGTTTCACGATTTAACACAGCAAAAGGAGTATTATGATATGTTATTTTTGTCCCTACACGTAATATGACTAAAAGATATCATCTATATTGCTCTGATGTTTTTTTTTCTGAATGATGTTATTAATCTATTTTTTTTTCTAAATTTTTTAAGGTACCAGTAGAGCAAATCAAATTATAACAATTATTTCATTTTCTATTGATTTTTTTCCTGTTTTTTTTAAGTGTAAAAAGTAATAACATATTTTTTTTTCTCCAAAAAATTTGCTACCATTTCTTCAAACATTTTTTTGTGTCTCTTAAACCTAACTACATTTAGTAATAACTATATTAGTAATAATCATAATACAACATCAATATATTTCTCTTACATTAATAGTGATATGAATTCTCAAAGCTCACAAAATTCATCATTTTAATATATTTTTTTCGCTAGCCTATATATACTTTATATATAAAAAAAACAAAACATGCATATCTTGTTTGTCTTGTTTCCAAAAAAAATATCCTCCTTAAAGAGTGTTTTTTTTTAAGGAAAAAGATAACAACTGGCACATGTAATGATATGATTGGATTTAAAAGTATTTGATATGTATATAGGCCTGTATCGTACCCTTTCACAATTTAATTTTTATATTATATACTATATTATTATATATTTTTATAACTAAAAATAAAATAGAAATTTTGGATGCGACATAGTTTCAAACTAAAGTAAAATATAGTTTCTTTAAACATCGTACGTACTAGTTTAGACACATCAAGATAGAGAACTATGACTACACGACTTCTTTTTTTCTAATATGTTTCTTAAGATAATATGCTAAAAATGCTGAATAATTATATTTCAAGTCGTTTTTTTCGTGAAATTCTTGTTGCAGAGACACAATCACTTGCTTGATGTTTTTTATGAATTTTTTAATGTGTTAACAACAAAAATTTCACTTTTGACTAAAAATTTGAAACATTATTAAAAAGCGATACATGCTCTAAAAAGTGAGTGCGCTTTATTTTTTTATTGATATATTATGCAAAAAATTCTATAACTAAACGATATATTTTGTGTGATTTTTCGAAAATATTCTGATCTATAGCTAATAATTATGATTTTTAACGATTTTTAAATACTGAAGTTTCGATATGGGCTTGAAGGATATATTTTCGTTACAGCTAGGCCTTCGAATATGCAAAAATGCTCAGAAAAAATATGATTTAATAATATTTTAATATTGACTTTAGTTCATTAATTCAAAAATGTAGACTAACCCTATCTAAATTCTGTATGCTTGTTGCTTACAAACTATGCAATTAAAATAATGATTTTGATTACCAAAATTTATATTCAATGATTTTTGTAAGACAGAAACAATAATTTTGACTGTAGCAATATCTATAGCTTCTGAATTTCAATATTAAAAATTTTATCTTATTATTTATTTCTAAAATTTTAAAACCGTTTCTGGACTTTAATATATTAATATTTGAAGAAAAATTAACTATTGCAATGCCAGTAACATACGGTCGAAAAGAAACAGCGTCACAGTACCCTTTGAAACGACAATTTTTGATCATTTCTCTTGGGTCGTTCTCTATATATGCCATTGATTAAAAATGGACTTAATGAAAAAAAAAAGGAAAAAATATTTTAGACACACCAAACATTTTCACGCCTATTCAGTATTTTTTTTTTGAAAATAGATATTCTTTTCTGAAATCTTTTATATTCTTTTAAATCTAGCATTAATTTTTTCGCAATTTTTTTATTATAGATCTTAATAAATAACATATAGAGATCGTTCCATGATATATTATAGTCGATTTTCATTTCAAAGCCCATCACGACGTCGTTTTTTTATTTTAAAGATTTTAAAAAAATTAATAACTAAAACACGACTTATATTGTTTCCTATGGTTTAGAACTTTAATATTATTTCTATTTCAAAATAAAAAAAGCATCATAGCAGGCAAAGAACTAATATTTCTGTGACAATTGATTGTGAGATATTTTAAGCCCTTGTTAAGTATTAAAACTGCAATACAAAGTTATAAATATATTCTAAACAATGAATATTAGAAAATATTAATAATTTTTGATTCTTTAGATTAAAATGTTTGTGAAAGGACTTAAAGTTAACTTCGAATAGATATAATTGTCATTTTAACCTTTTAACCCTTTATTAGAATTGGAAATTGATTCTAGAACAACACTACTTGTTATTTTTATCTAAAATAATCCTTTCCCTGATTTAAAATCACACATATCCTGCCAAAACCATACCAAAACCCCTTCTACATATATAATGTATATATCCACTAATAAAAACATCTAGATTTTAATTCTATATACCGTTATATTTTAAATTTTAACTAGCTATCGCCAATTGACCAATTAGAACGCATATACTCAACAAGAGTGACGTTTCTAGTACTCCCGCTTGCCTGGTGGCGGCGCTGTACGCTGAATTCTCGTACGACTTGATTTTGCATTTCATCTTGTCCAGTGGGAGACTCTGCAAGCTGTACTCTCTGTGCTCGTGCTGCATCGTGCACACTGTCCTTTTCTTTTGCATCATCTCATCGTCCTTGTCCTTGGGGTTGCGGAGCCAGTTCTTGTACCACTGCAGCTCGCAGTCGCATAGAAGTGGATTATCTGAGGAAGAAGATGAGAAATATTCATATAATAGTATATTATTGAACGAGCAATTTATGCTAGCCATTATTCACGCAGGGTGACGTTTGTCACCAGAGTGAATAATGGCTATAAATTGCTAGTTGAATACTATACTTTGTCCACGGCATAGACAAACAAATAAAAAGAGACTGGCAAATTAAATGGCAAAGAGAGGGACCACGTTCCCGTAGCGCAATTCAGAACGAAAAATTTCGTTTTGTTTATGTTGATCTGCGCATTGCGTCTATTGTGCCGACTATCTCATTCTAATATAACAAGAGAGAAAGAAGCAGCCATATAAAACGTAATTTCTAAATAGACATTAGAACAATCGCCTTTCGTTTTAGTCATCACGACAACCAAGATGACAACATCATGACAATTCGTCATGTTTGTTAATTTTTCTTTTGGTGATTTACCTTTTTTTCTAAACTCTCCATTTTATTAAGTTATGAATATGGATAGGGAACAAATTCCTTTGTTCCATATATGTATTTATATTTTGTTACTTATAATTGTAGGTTATACTATTTGTTATTTTATTTGCTGCAGGAGCCAGTATCATCTATTTTCTATATGTATTGGTGCCCCCTTTCTCTGATAGATATGTTAAAGACACCCGGTAAAATAAAAGTAAGTAGTTATATTTATCATCTTATTAAGAAAAAAGTAGAAGTAGTAATGTCAAAAATATTTCGAACCTCTCTTAATATAACAAATTATGTAATACAATTATTTTTTTTTATTTTTTGGGTAGGTAGTTTATAGCTGGTTTATAGTAACCAGAAACTTTATTAATATACCAATTTTACTTTTGTTTTAGGATTAAAACTGGACTTGAAAATGGTTCAGGATCATGATTCTCGTAAAGTCTTCTTTGCTTGGATATTCCCTTTGTTATTGCAATTAGACAGTTTTTTCGAAAATGAGATTTTTAATGCCCTTTAAAGAAATTGGCCGATCGTTTCCTGCAACAGTCAGTTCTTCTGCAGTTAAAATTGGTAGGTGGGTGGAATAAACACAGTTATTTTTTGTTATTATATTATAAAAAGTTTATTTATTTTTATGTATAAATAAATATGTTTATAAAACAGTACAATTTTTGCTTTTTTATAATTTGCCTTATAATAGTAGTATTCTTTCGTTCTGAAAGAAACTGCAAATTTTCACTTAAGCTGATTTATTCCCTACACCACGTTAAATCAGTTTAAGTGAAAATTTTCAGTTTCAGAATGAAAGAATACTACTAATAATGGTTAATTTAAATTTTCCGCCAGCCAGAATGTGCGATAATGTCTTACGATACGTTTTATACCTATCTCTTTTTCTTTCATATAAAGCACACATAATAAAGAAAGATAGCAATAAAGACGTACGTCCTGCCATGGTCCTGCTAATTGGTTTCAAAATTGTTATTCTGAGTTGCGATACGGGAACGCGGTCCCACTCTTTACCATGAGATTTGTCAGTCTCTTTTTATTTGTTTGTCTATGGTCCACGGCGATTATAATAATTATGAGAAGTGTTTGAATTTGTTTTTTTTTACGTTAATCTTACTATTAATTATTGTATTCATGTTTTAGGGGAAAATGTCACTACCTACTTAAAATTTGGCAATTTTAAACGTCAAAATTAATTAAAAGATAATAAAAACGTCAATATCATCAGTTGCTATGCAAGTTTATTATTAGATGTGTTTTCCGACATACCTGTATATTAGTACTTTTTTCTACCACCTTTAGTAAAATAAATTTGTTGAAAAATGATAGATCGTACCACCAGCAGCTGACTTTTTGTTGTTTTAAAAGTAAAGTAAAGATTTCAGTTAACGTCTCGTTTTTGCTGCCAGCGCTAATCTGAACGGGGCCTACTTTGTTTACGCGGAATCCGAACCGCGGTCCTCGGCCACATATCATGGTCAATGGCCTACAGACTTGGGAAGCGTCTAAATCAACTCTTACTCACGAGATATCCGATCTCATCCGGCCTCGACCCGGCGTGAATGAGCAGTGGACTTTATTGGACAACAGCACGATACAGAGTTTCGAACCGGTCACCCGTCCATCCACTAGTATCGCCTTACCCGGCATAACTTCGGTGTTCTAATAGGAACCGGTGTTTCAACGTAGCTGGCTCATTCCCTTTTTGTTGTTTTGTGTAACTAAAGTTGGTAATTTGTGTTTTATTTATCGTTATATATGTATTTGAATTTTATTGATGCTGCTTCAACTTTTTTGCAATGAAACATACTTCTACTAACTTTAGTTGAATACAGTTGTTGGAGAACGATAAATTGGAGTACCAGCATCTGACTTTTTGTTGTTTTGTGTAACTAAAGTTGGTAATTTGTGTTTTATTTAAAGTTATATAAATATGTACAAAAAGATGAAACAATGAAGTATGTTTGGTTAAAAAGAGCACAATATAAAGTGGTCGGAAACTCGGATTGTCCACAGGGAACCTTATTTAAAAAAACGTAAATTTAAAGAAGCCGTTATTATAGTAAGCAATCTTAACATCTTTAGTAATCCTTGTACTGAAATATCTACGATATGGCAATGACTGATGAAACGCACGAATGCAGGTATTCTCAGTCATGGTCAACTACACTCAACTACTTCACGGGTGAATGCCTGGCAGCAGTATAAAAGCTCAATAGTTTTAGGAATTAGTTTAGTATATACTTGATAACGGTCAGTGATCCTGTTCTGACCAGGCACTTCTGACATACACATATTTTGAATGAAAGTCTTAAATAAGAAATTTGATATCTAGATTCAACGGTAGAAGGGATCACCCAGTATATAAAACTTATAAAAACTATTTTTACCCATTATGTCGACAACTCGGAGTGTATCCAAGATTGGTTCCATCACATCTTCGGGAATATGCATCAGTTTGTTGTTCTGCAAATTCAGGGTTTCCAAAGAGTTCAAGTTTTCAAAAATCATCCCGTTCAACGATCTTATACTGAAAAAAAGAAATTTTACATTAAAAACTGTGCACATCGCTAAGAGGCGTGGAAGGGGATATAGCAGATTTGTCGCAGTTGACCGGTCGACCCAATCAATATCTTTGTCAGTACTTAAAGTTCTAGGGAAAGGTGTACGTCATGCGTTCAGCTTCACGATTCAATTACGTCTCGTGATACTTGATTTGTTTATTTATTAACGAGTCGTTGTAATTTTCCCTATAGCTTGAATTTTTTTAAGTGCAAACTAGAAACACTTGTATTTTTGGTAAAAATAAGTGGAATTGAGGGTGTTCGATAGTGGTCGCGCTATTAGAGCTCTGAATTCAAAAATCGATATCTCGAAATCTATTAGAAATAACAAATTGTAGTTTTTTCAAGAACTTTGTTAAGATTTCTGCTGTATAGACAGTATGTGAAAATCTCTATCAATAAAAAAATTACGCGATTGCTGAAAATTGCTATGCTCTAAAAGTAAAGGGATGGATTGTTTACAATTTTTGAATGGAAAAAACAACCTTATCGAATTTTTCTTATGTAAACATATTGTAAAATATCCGATCTTGAAAATAAAAAAAAGTTTCAATATCTAAAGTGGTTCTTGAGTTATGGCCTGTTATGTTTAAAAAGTTGATTTTTCAATTAGCGCGATACTGACGTTTTCTCGTTATAAGAAAATGACACCCTAACGATATTCTTATAATTCCATTTCAGATGCTCAGAAACATTACAAACCTAATGATTTTATCTAGTTATCTCTTGAAAAAAAGTCTTTTAAAAATAAGCGGTTTGCGATCGTGATTTTACTTTACTTGATAGGGAAAGGCGTATCGGCAACGCCGCAACACCACACCAAAGAGTAGATAAGACAAGAGACGACAGTGAACAAAGAAGTCGAATTTCGCTAGAGAGACGCAGATATATTAAAATTTAAAGGTCCCATCAAGTCCCATTTTGTATGTTGCCAAGTATATTTCTTTGAAAAATAAACAAGATTTTCTGAAAATAAATTAATAATATAAGAAGGATATAAGTAACGTATGTTAATACGGAAATGTAAATTTTAGTTTAGGTTGGTTTAGGTTCTTTTTTCGCAATGTACTGATAATATCAAAGAAACAGAATGACTAAGTTGATCGATTTCAAAGATAAACAGATAAAATCTCAAAATCTGACAACGGCGTATTTTATCTAATCTAAAATATAACCTATGATTTTAGGACGCTAATCAGCTGTGCTAATCAAGCTTAAACATAAACAAATCTGTGTTTTCAGAGTTTTTCGATATCTTATCGTTTTGACAGTTTTTAAGGTTTAATTTTAGTATCGTTTTTGTTGCGTACTAATTTGTAAATATTGTTAAATATGAATACTGAACAGGACACGAGTAGCAGGAAAAGACGAGATGGTGGCAATGTGTGTGCTTACAAAGACTGCAAAAATAGGTCTTATTCTTCGACAAACATAATATTTCACTTTTTCCAAAGGATCCTGAAAAGTTATTAAACTAAGAAAGAAGACTTAAAGAAGTTATTAAACTAAGATCGAAGACATGGTTAGAAGCTTGTAATATATTTTACAAAAAAATTGAGCAACTCTATTTTTTTGTACATAAACTCCACATTGTGATTTTTGCACTTGTTCAAGTCCATATGTAAAAAAATACAATACACGTAAATAAAACATTTCCTACAAATCGACTTGGTCACTTTATCTTGTTTACAAACGATATACAAAAATATTGCTTTTTATTATCTTTATTCCCCCGACAACATGTTTCTAATTATAATTTATTTTATATAATATTTAGAAAACTCATTTTTTTCGTTTCTATTTATTTCTTTACCCATAAAGTAACTATTTATAAGCTATACAGGCAAGTTTTACATAATAGTCTATTTTAAATTTCAAAGCGAAAAATTACGAAAATTTAAAGGGACAAGCAAGACGAGGTCACTCTCCCCACCACTCAAACATGAAAGGTACCGCGCGAACTGTCGTCTCTTGTCTTATCTACTCTTTGACCACACCATCGCGCGTCGGTCGGTCGCATTTCTCCCACTCCGACTTAATAAGATCCCTATGCGATTTACTTCCACACATGTAAATGCCGACCCAAAAGTAACAGTTGCCGGCACGGTATATCAAATGTGTACGCTAACCTGGATAAATGCCATTTATGTTTGTTGTATTTTATTTTATTTTTATTGTCAAATATAATTTAGATATTCTGATTATCTGCTCTTTGGAGCGGAGACAAATCCAACAAATCTGAGATCATTAAAACCTTGTATCATTCATTATTTAGGTTATAATAATGCTTGTCCAAGCAGACAAAACAACGACAAAACAGAAACATTCATGTTTTACGACAAAATTGCGACAAATCCAATACATTTCTGCGACATTTTTGTCTCATTTTTGTTGCAAAATTCGGAGACTTTTCAGTGTCCCGTCTCGAGTCGGTAAAGATCAAAGTGTCTATGTTTTGTTCGTATATTTTGCGACAAGTTGTCGGCGCAGTGTGGATGGCGTGTGCTGCCAACAGTAGGAGACCAGTGAAATCACACATGGTTAATAAAACGAAAACTCATTCGCAACAACTAAACTTTTGACCTTGTTGTACTTTTGTCAGGGACAATTTGTCTCAAGTTTGTCTTGTTTTTGTCCCAAAATCGTGTTTACTTTTGGTCTGAACCCAGTAGACTAAAGGTGCGTATTCATTATCCGCACGAACGAACGAACGAACGAACGAATGTTCGCTAGTGGTATGGACGGGGACCGCACGATAGAACCGCACGAGAAGACCGCACGCATTTCTTCATTCGCGCGCCAGTTCAAAAATCGTCAAGATATTGTTATAAACCTGTTTTTTTTGGTTATATACCGTCATTGAATTATCGCTAAGCAAGTTACTATGAAGCAGTGCACATGAGTCGGGCTAGGGAAGCGAGAACCCGGAGTTCGAATCTCGGCCGAAACATCACTTTTTATTTTTTTTTAAATACTGTGTTGTATTCTATAATAGTTTATTTTTGTAGTATAACAGCAAAAGAACTATTTATTCTGTTATTTTTAATCTCCGTTATTATATATAAATTGATTGTTAATTACAATACCTCATTTAATATAAAATAATATTCTACTTTTGAAATGTATCGGGCCCTAATTGTACCTTAAAAGTAATATATTTTAGTGATATACCATATTGTAAACTATTTAATATTTCAGTCGCTTAAAAAAGTTAATTTGCATTGAATAACTGCCTACCATTAAAGGAAATTTGAGCTATATAACCCTTGATGGCAGTATTCTTGGCGTGAAGCAATACTTCCTTTAAATTTGGGTGTGGTTCCAACCGATTTATTCTCAAAACCAGAAACATCTACATATAAAAGAAGCACAGGTCACTACACTTCACCCTTGGTATTACTTCCACTAATTATAATAAACTTCACCCTTGGAATTACTTCTATCACAATTACAATATCGTTCATCTGCATTGGCATTTTCTTACTTTTCGATGGGAAACAATAAACTTCCCAACATTTTTTTAAATGATGTATCAATTCCTCTTGTGAATTTACTTTTCCATAGATATCCTCATCTCTGTCCTCATGTAATGATTCTAGAGGCAATAAAATGAAAATTATTTACCATAAACATCGCAAACTAAAAACCTAATAAACAATTTTATACCGAATATGAGAAATAAATTTAGTATTTTTACCTATTATCGTCCAATCCATGTTAATAGATAATTATTATTTTTTAAATATATTTTTGGAACTGCTGGTTTTAGTAACTATTAAATTAAAACGAACTGAAAAAAGTCTTAAAATAAAACAATACCCAACCATAACCTCAAAAAATGCAGATCTCCTGTCAACTTTCTTTATTTTTTTATTTATTCATTATTTTCCTAGTGACGTCACAGGTGGTATGCGCGAACTGAACGAAATTGGGAGCCGCTATCGATCATACCTTGTATTCTTTGTACCATGACGTCTAAACGCCTTTTGATGTACCGACTGAAGCGGATGGTCGAGCGCACGACCGAACGAACGGCCGCATGCGTTCGGTCCCCGTCTAAATATACCTCTCTTCATTCGTTCGTTCGTTCGTTCGGATAATGAATACGCACCTTAAATCTGAAAGCGCACGCAGGCGAACGCCTGTGATGTACCGACTCGGAAGCGGATGGTCGAGCGCGACCGAAGGAACGGCCGCATGCGTTCGGTCCCCGTCTAAATATACCGCACTTTCATTCTAGTTCGTTCGTTCGTTCGGATAATGAATACGCACGCTAAATCTGAAAGCGCACGCATGCGAACGCCTGTGATGTACCGACTCGAGAAGCGGATGGTCGAGCGCACGACCGAACGAACGGCCGCATGCGTTCGGTCCCCTGCTCCAAATATACCGCACTTTCATTCATTCGTTCGTTCGTTCGTTCGGATAATGAATACGCACCTTAAATCTGAAAGCGCACGCAGGCGAACGCCTGTGATGTACCGACTCGAAGCGGATGAGTCGAGGCACGACCGAACGAACGGCCGCATGCGTTCGGTCCCCGTCTAAATATACCGCACTTTCATTCGTTCGTTCGTTCGTTCGGGATAATGAATACGCACCTTAAATCTGGAAAGCGCACGCAGGCGAACGCCTGTGATGTACCGACTCGAAGCGGATGGTCGCAGCGCACGACCGAACGAACGGCCGCATGCGTTCGGTCCCCGTCTAAATATACCGCACTTATCTCATTCATTCATCTGTTCGTTCGTTCGTTCGGATAATGAATACGCACCTTAAATCTGAAAGCGCACGCAGGCGAAGACGCGCCTGTGATGTACCGACTCGAAGCGGATGGTCGAGCGCACGACCGAACGAACGGCCGCATGCGTTCGGTCCCCGTCTAAATATACCGCACTTTCATTCGTTCGTTCGTTCGTTCGTTCGGATAATGAATACGCACCTTAATATGCTACTATTTTTTATT